ACCAGTGAGCACTCGATTATTGAAAGCCGTTTCGATTTCCATCCATGATAATCCCGTCTTCGACGATTCAGCATGACCGGAACCCTCGTGTACAAAACGAGGTCGTAAGGTACTCCTCACGTACTCCAATCGCGCTATTTTAGCGATCGACGAATTTATCAAACCAGTAGATATCGGTTGACTCGTGTTACGACATACCTCTCTTAAATAATCAAGATACTCAACACATTTTATCTCCCATGCTTGATACGCCTCCAGCGTATCGATGCTCGTCGTGCAATACAACAGATCCTCCATTTTTTCCACCTCGTGCAGGTAACCACAAAGTTTCACTGCGATTGTCTAATGGTACGGAAAACTCGATTTTTTCAATTATACCTCGAGCGCGTTTGCCTTTACCGTAAGTTCTACACGCCCAATTCGTAGCAGCAGCCTCGTAATTTTTTCCACGATTCTCCAATGCTATTAACGTTTTAATCCACAGAATCTCTCGCGGACATTGAAATCCGATCGCTCTCCGTAAATGATGAGTATCTACATTCCAATTACTCTTCTCTTTTGGAATGAATGCAAAATCATTAGGCATTAATGGATACTCGAAACAATACAGATCGTTGTCAACGTCGAATAACTCGCGACGAGAAGATACGCGAAACGAAGACGATTCACTATCCTCACTTGACATAACACGATTCTTATTTGAAAGGAATCTTGACAACGCGTGTTTATATATCGCTCATCGTTGGAAAAATCAAGAGTAAAAAAATATTTTATCTCGCAATAGCACGCATTTGCGCAACTTTTATCACAATTGTGAAAATAACCGATTCTGAGCGCGTCACGTGTCACCGGATGTGACCTCTTGTATGTAAGATTAATTTCGTTAGACTCGTCGAAATTTTCCGCACAAATAATCACGAACGATGTGTATTGCAACATGTGTTTTCGTGTTTTTTCGATAAAAAAAATTTTTATATCACGCTATCCGTTTTTCGCTGTTTTTTTTTGTTCAACAAAATGAGCAAGACTTGCAATTACGATATGAAGTAAGAATACAAATAAATCCTTTGGTAAGTTGTAATTTTCTAATTTGTAAATTATATTTATACATTGTATACATTACTGTAACAATTACACGAAATATCGTTGTGAAGCATAGAAATTAACAGATTCATAAACATTCGTCGTATGAACGACATGCAATTTAAAAGGAGAAGAAATCAAGAGGATATGTTCTTCATGTGGAGGGAAGAAATTCGGAGAAGAGCCGTATGAGGATTTTTTTATACTCGGACTAGCTCGTCGGAAAAATTTGCGTGTCGTATAAAAAAGGTTCGGCTGGAGGAGTATTCGCGTCGGAACGGGCGGCGGAAAATTATGTGAAGCGTCGGAAATCGGTAAAGAAAATACTAATGCGGAAGTAATAGTTAGACAAGAAACATAGTTTATTAAGATAATTTAGATGATACGGAAATTATAAAAATCGCAGAGAAAAAATAACATATAGGAATATATAATTAACGGACGCGACTTACAATAATACAGCGAACAAAAATAAACGAGCGCGGGTAACAAAAAATATATATATATATACAAACGAGCGCGGACAACAGAACAGAAATGTATATGTATATTAACACAGAAAACGGACGCGGACTCTACAACGAAAACTAACTCTAAACGGCGCGAGATATATACCGGCGGTCGCGGGTTTTCTCGACGGCGATCTGCAACGCGGCGGAACGCGGGTATACGCCAGCAAGCGTCGTTTCGCGGCGCGATACGTAATTTTGGCAATGCTAGGAAAGGGAACGGAGTTGGTACTTGACGGCCGGGAACGCCCGACAGAGGCAGGGAGCGCCCTACCCCTTTTCGAATGTCAAGTACCAAGACGGGATTTTCGGGATGCGGAAAAGAAGGTAAGGAAGGTGGGAGTATTAGCTAATTACGATTGTCCGGCGGCCGGGAACGCCCGGCAGAGGCGGGGTACACCCCACCCCTCAGGTTCGTCGGAACAACACGTGAATCTGGTGGCGTGCTCGAGATGCGTTTCCTGGACGGCTCGTTCGGCGGCCGGGAGCGCCCGGCAGAGGCAGGGTACACCCTACCCCTCAGGTTCGTCGGACGAGCGAGTCGATGGATCGGTATCGTGAGCTAAGGAACTGGTAATCGGATCGGATATATCAGAAAAGCGGTGAAGACAAAAATGCCTCGCGCGGCTTGATATCGCGGTATCTTATACTCGACCTCCAGTCTCGCTCGCAATACTTCGGCCGGTCGCGGTATTTTCCGCCGATCGGCTTCTCGTGGGAGAAGATTTCCGATCGGCGGTCCCCGACGACGGTCGGTACTTTTCGGCGAGACTGGCGGTTCTAACGGGAGCTGCTGTTCCCGCGAATTACTCTAACATACGAGCAGGCGCCTCGCTCCTACTCCCGTTGGCACCACGCGGGAACGATGCATTTTAGGGGGGCATCGTTACAAGGTACAAACATGATGCAATTACGTTTTGTGGACTCTTTCAAATTTCTTAGTTCCAGTCTTGAGAAATTGGTGTCTTATTTCGACAAGAGTAAATTAAACATTACACGATCGAAATTTTTCAATCTGGATGAACAGGAATTTGCTTTTCTTAAGCGCAAAGGAGTATTTCCGTACGAATACGTTAACAGCTTCAATAAGCTTAATGAAACGAGTTTACCACCACGCGAGGCATTTTACAGTTCGTTGATCGACGAGGATATTTCCGTAGACGATTATCAACACGCGACTGATGTTTGGCAACGTTTTCGCATTAATACTCTTGGTGACTATAGTGATTTGTATCTGAAAACCGATGTACTTCTATTGGCGGATATGTTTGAAAATTTTCGTGACACATATATGGAGAGTTACGGATTGGATCCAGCTTATTATGTTATTTTGCCGAGTTACACTTGGGACGCTATGTTGAAGAACAGCGGTGTCAGATTCGAATTACTTACCGATATCGATATGGTGTTATTTATAGAGCGTGGCATACGCCGTGGTTTAAGCCAATGTTCGCATAGGTATACGCGTGCCAATAATGTGTACGTACCGACATTTGACCCTTCGAAACCCATTTCGTATCTTGTGTACTTCGATGTAAATAATCTGTACGGTTGGGCAATGATGGAACCATTACCATACGGTGAATTACCATCAGAAAACGAACTGCATTTACTTTACACAATAACGCACGAAATCGGACATTCATTGGGATTATCGCACAATTCACACATAGATTCTCTAATGTTTCCTTACGCCACCAATAAATCCGTTAAACTCAGTATAGAGGACATTTTAGCTATTCAACGTCTATATGGAAAAAATCTTAATGAAGTACCGAGTACACAATCTCCGCCGGTAACTACTGACACACGTAAGACATTAACACAAAAAGATCTGTGCGATCTACCATACGTGGACAATGTACTGGTGTTGAATCACCGCAAATTCGTCACTTATCGAAGGAGCATGTGGATGATAGCCATCAATGGTAAAAGATACAAGGCACCAGTCGCGATCAACGACTATCTTCTGCTGAAAATTTTTCTGTAAACATGAACTACGTAGAAGAAAAAATTATAATATTTTCACATTTTTAGAGCAATGTAAAATATAAACCAAAGTATCTAAACATCATTCTAGATAAAGATGATACTTTTTTTTCATCTAAAATGCAGATAAAGATAATTAATATTTTTATTATCTAGATAAAGATAAGATGGCATCAAAATTTCATCTAGATGATCATCTAGATAATTTTATCCAGATAAGATCGAACACTGTGAATATCACTCGTTAAAATCGATATTTCCGGGTATACCACCATCTCCGACTCTAGCCTTCCGATATATCGACGGATCTCTTTATTTCCTACACAAACGTCAATATTACAAATTCAACGAGTTCACCCAAACAGTAACGAATGCCGATAATTTCGACATAAAAATACTAAACGTAAATTGTCCTACAGACGGACTGCTAAAACAATTGCAAGATCTTCTTAATCGACTGCTTCAATCAAGTAATTTACTTGAATACACCGCAGAGGATGCATTGGACGATTAACACGATGTTTTAAGTAAAATAATATATTACTACATGGGTACGCAGACGATCAGTGCAAAAGAACGAATCGTTCGATTAACATCGTGAGAGAGACATGTACGCGATTTCAAACGACACCCATGACGACTCTCGACGTCTCATCAAGCGTACGAATGACGCGAAGATCAGAAGAGTTTTCAACAATACGGCAGCAAAGCATTTTATCACGGAGCACGATGGAAAAAAGGAAAAACAGTATAACGAAGCGAACAATATGCAGAAACAATATAACGAAAAAGTAGATACAAAAGACACGTAAGTATTTGTATTTTTTAATCATTGTTTTTTTCTGAACTAATTTTTTTTCTTTTGCAACAGAACCACAGTACGCATATTGGAACGAAGATATCCTTTAACTGCTACCGGATACAAGTATCTGACCGTTGGCATCAATCTGAATGCATCAATTGTACACTACACAACCGATTCGTATCGAATAAAATTTATAATAATTTATTCGTATCTCGATGTCGTATCCTACTATCTTCCTGGAGACAGTCACGGCAAAGAGATGTTCCTCTCACCGACCGTATGGAGCGAGCTCGTCGAACATACACGCGTCATATTGCCGCTTTTGCAACCCGAAGATACAAAAGGAAAACGCGCGCCATCGCCAATATACATCGGAGATGTGACATTGCATTTCGGTCGAATTAACAGTATACCGATGTTGCGTTTTGATTCGACATCTTCACGAATGACCTTGTCAAACAGAACAGTTGTCAATTTATTCAATCTAGAATATTGCGTCAATCGTCTCATTTCCTCATTCGTTACAATGTAACTGACATCATAGACAAAAAGTACTCGTGTCTTCTCAATATCGCGGCTAATGTGAACGATTCTACAAAATCAAAATTTCAAGTAAACGACGATGGCGGCGTGCGCGCGCACGCGCGAAAAGCGCGGGAACCTCGCGAAGGGTGAGCCCTAACCTCGCTCCGCCGTCAGCGTCGAGCGCGCGCCCTAACCTCGCTCCGCCGTCAGCGTCGAGCGCGACGACAGCGTTCCCGTGGCAACCGACCGACGCCCCCCACCACAGGCGCGTGACCTTGAAAAAACCGCGTTTCGCTTTCTAAATCACACACACACAATCAAAGATGTCACGCACACAAGCATAAAGCAGCCACGCGATTGGCTATCCACCCCGATGACCGTGTCTGTGGATTTCAAGCACACTTAGATTATCTACTACCCTTTTTATTTATTATAACAATTACAATTTCGAGTGGTTGTTACCACCAGTTACATTTAACCTTTTATTTAATTAATTTGCGAACTAATCGCACTGATCTTCGGACCGAATTAAAACGCTTTAAGAATAAACATTATTTTTATTATTAAATTGCATTCTCTCATGTAGTAACAACACTCGAATAATATATTGACAAATAAGAAAACCAATTTCACATTCAATCTGACTGAATTACACGACAAAAAAAAATGTATTTTATTCAACGCGCGACTCTGAGGACTATAAATAGATCGCAATCGCGCGTAGTGAACGACAAGGAAAAACCTCAGACGAGCGACCTTGAATAAATTAACAGTAAGCGCGTAGCGAACGACGAGGAAAACGGGAAAACTATCTCGGACACGCGAGCGCGTCTTCGAATAAATATATACATTAATATAAAACAAAATAAGTGCATTGTATATAAGTATATTATTCAACGCAACAATTTACTCCTTTTTTTCCCATAAAATAACATGGAGAAGCCTGTTGAGAAAAGCATACACGCAACGATCACGCCGCGCAACGGAAAAGAGTGAGGACGAGAAAGAGAGAGATAGAGAGAGAACGCGTCGAGTGAGTCATTCGAGGCGCGACCTTGGAGACGATAGATAGATCGAGGTCGCGAAAAGACGACGAAAAAGAAAAAAAATATCACGCCGCGCAACGGAAAAGAGTGAGGACGAGAAAGAGAGAGATAGAGCGCGTCGAGTGAGTCATTCGAGACGCGACCTTGGAGACGATAGATAGATCGAGGTCGCGAAAATACGATAAAAAAGAAAAAAGACAGATCACGCCGCGCAACGGAAAAACAGTGAAGACGATAGAGAGATAGAGCGCGTCGAATGTGTGTCATTCGTCGAAATGAATTGTCTCCGAAGCGCGACCATGAAGGCTATAGATAGATCGAGGAAAAAGGAAAAAATAAAAGTGAGAATCGTCTCCGAGGCAATAACGCGTGCATCGCGTAACGGTAACAACACAACAACAATAATTTTCCAGCCGTCAAGGTGTAGCAACGATACGACGCGCGAACGAAACGAACGAACGAACGACGACGACGACGACGACGACGACGACGAGCGCACGATTCGCGCGTGATCGAGCTACGAGGAGGAATAACGACGACGATGAACGGACGACCGACCGGCCGACCGTCGCGCCGCTCGCGAGGATCTCGGCGCGCACGCGCGACCGCCGGCGCGAGCGCGGGAAGAGACATAACCTGTAAGATCGCGCGCGCGGCGAGAGAGAGACATAACCTCGCTTCACTCGCCCCGCGGCGAGCGCGCTTATGCTAACCTGATAATCCAACGCGCGCGATCACGTGGCTAGCACGCGCGCACAACACCACTTGCGAGGATCTCGACGGTGCACGCGAGACCGCCGGCCGCGAGCGCGGGAAAAGACATAACCTGTAAGATCGCGCGCGCGGCGAGAGAGAGACATAACCTCGCTTCACTCGCCCGCGACGAGTGCGCTTATGCTAACCTGATAACCCAACGCGCGCGATCACGTGACTACCACATGCTTGACGACGTAAGGCTACACCGATTCCACTCCGGAAGCTCCGAGGGGGGTGCGGGCGTAGACATAACCTATAAATGCGCGCGAACATAACCTGTAAATGCGCGCGAACATAACCTGCAAAAGCGCGCGCGCGCGGCGCGAAAAGAGACATAACCTCGCTTCGCGCGCTCGTCGCGGCGAACGCGTGGCGACGTCGCCATGGCGACCGCGTCCGGGCGCGACCTTCATGGGCGTCGACTATAGTGTGGTTGATGTGGAGTACTCCACACACGAAATTTTTTCGTGTGTGAAATTCCACACTTGAAAATCCGAAGAATATAAAAATTATTTCTTGATGAAATAATTTATTATTTAATATATATTTTATTAAATATATGAAAGTTGATTAAACTAAATATGAGTCGTATGTTTACAACTCGATTCGTGCTTGCCGCTTTCACGTCCCTCTATCGGTATTTTACTAGTGTTCAATGTCTACACGCCAATAACAAAACAATAAAACATAGACGAAATTAAGGTTAGACTAGAGTTCTAGGGACTCTAGCAGACTCTAGGTTGGACATCATGCTACTGATGTCATGTAGTAACACACACAGCCATAGCCAGGCAGCTTTACGAGTTTCAATCTCATGTACATTGTACACATACAACCTTGCAATCCTTTGTAACGATTTGACTGAATAAGTATGGGTGAGACTATACATGGATAAATATATTATTCGAACAGATAAAAGGCCTGTGCCGCCTGTGCCATCCCTAACAGCACAGGGACGTCCTGCGGACATCCTACTAGCTAAACGGGAACGTCCATAGGATGTCCTATTGTAGTCCAGGGACGTCCTGAGTATGTCCTATGGACTGTGAAATGAGCGCCTCATTATGTCCTACATACGTCTACTGGACGTCCAATCCAAAGTCCTACAGATGTCCATTCGTAATCTTTCGGACATCCATAGCCAGAATTGATCCAGAATATGTCATTGTAATAATTTATATATTAAAACAAGGATTAATTTAGTATGTATTCAGGAGTACTTTAAGACCATTTTAGGACTATTTCAGAACTACTTCAAGACTATTTTAGGACTGTTTCAGGACTATTTCAGGACTAATTTAAGACTATTTCGGGACGATTTCAGAATTATTTCAGGATATATTAAAAATAATATATATGTATTTAAAAAAAC